CAGGCAGGGCAAGTGGTAGCCCCCTGATGTCAGGGGAAACTGAGGCCCAAAGCAGAGCTTTGGCCTGAGTTCACCAAGAAAGTTGGAGATGGACCCAAAGTTCGGCTCTGAGCCGCCCTCTGACGGAAGCAGACAAAGGACAGGTGGGTGGCTCTGCCCCTCTGCCTGAGCCCCTTCCTGACCACTGGTGGTCCCTAACCCCAACACCTGGGCCACCTGATGCGAAGAGCTAACTCAGCGGAAGAGAGGCTGGGAAAGATTGGGGGCAGGAGGAGAAGGGGGCGACAGAGGGTGAGATGGCTGGATGGCATCACTGACTCAACGGACATGAGTTTGAGCAAGCTCCGGGAGTTGGTGAAGGACAGGGAGGCCTGGCGTGCTGCGGTTCATGGGGTCGCAGAGTCAGACACGACTGAGCGACTGAACAACAACCCCATCACAGAGTGGCTCCCTCTCAGGCCTGCCTGGGCCAGCTGCCCTGCCCAGCCCTGCCCAGCCCAGCGTGACTCAGCCTGGTGGGTCCCCTAATCGGATGATTCAAAAGCCTGGCCATCCCCATGAGGCCCCAGGAAGCTCTCTGTCTGACTGTCTCCACGTGGGCATCTGAGCTATCTGTCTTCTGACCCCAGGGCTGGGCAGACCCATTAACCCCCTTGGTCCAGCGGTGCATAGATAAACACAGCAGCCTGGACGGGTGGGCAGAAGCGTGGGGTTCAAGCCGTGCTCTGTCACTGTGGCCTTGGGAGAGCCAGCACCCCTTCCTGGGCCTCTGCTTGTTCTGCCCAGCAAGGTGCCAGGGTGATGGGCTCTCCAGCCCCGTCAGCTGGCACGCTGGGGATTTCCTGGGCACCAGCTGGGTGCTGTGATTAGGTGACACCTGCCCACGACACCTTGGGGAGAAGTATGGACACAGGCCACAATGTTCATAAACCTCAAAAACACGCTCGGTGAGAGAAGCCAGACCCCACAGTCCACAAATTGCGTGGTTCCATCTAGGTGCAATGTCCGGAAAAGGCCAATCTGTAGACACAGGAAGCAGGCTGGTGGTTGCCAGGGGCTAGGGGCAGGAGGACCGGGGAGTGACCGCTCATGGGTGCTGGAGCCTTTGGGGGGTGATGAGGATGTTTTGGAGCTTAATATAGATGGTTGCACAACATTGGGAATGTATGAATTTGCCCCCAAACTGTGCACTTTAAAATGGTTTCTTGTGTGTGTATGCCTTTCATTTAAATGAATCACAAGCAACAGGAAATAAAAACCAAATGGTCAGGAGCCTCTGAGAGGCCTTGGTGGCAGGTGGGGCGTCTGGGGTCAGGGGTGGAGGTTAGGGACTGATGCTGTGATGAATGTAGGGAGAAACAAGGAGGTGATGAAAATTTGTGTCCAAAGCAGGATACTCTTTTTAAAAATGTTTATTTCGGACTAATTTTAGACTTACGGCAAAGTACAGGGGTAGTACAAAGTTGCCACACACCCTTCACCCGGCTTCCCTTCCTGGACCAGGAAATTCACACCCTGTTTGTAACCCTGCTAACACAATCTGATCCGTTGGCCCAGGACACCATCTGCCCGGGATCCCACCTTCTGTTTAGCTGTTATTTGTCCTTAGTCAGTGATGTATCCTTCTGTCTTTCCTTGCCTTCCATGACCTGACCCTTTTCAAGAGTGCTGGAGGGCAGGGCAGGTGTGTGGTCAGATGTTCCTCCAGCCGGGACTGTGACAGTCTCTCATGAGTAGACCCGAGTTTGCATTTGTGGCAAGAACACCACAGTGAGTGCGTCCACCTCGCTGAACTGGGACATGTGTCTTATACTGGTGGAATTAACCTTGGTCACCTGTATAATAGGGACACTCCTGGTGGGGGGAGTCATTCATTTGGGACAAATGAATGGGTGGGCATAAATTGGGACTGTCCTGGGGGCAGGTGTGTACGGTCATCCTGAGGAGGCCTGAGCTCTGGCCCGGCTCCGGGTCTGACCCCCGGCCCGCCCCTGGGCCTCGGTGTGCCTGTCTGTGTGTGAGAGTCAGTGCGGGTGAAGCCCTCCACCTGCCCAGCCCACGTCACGGTCCGGGGAGCCCTCAGGCCCTGAACGCAGCTCGTTGTGGTTGCCCAAAGGCTGCCACTTGACTGTGGTTTCAACACGTCTGTTAAACAGGCCGAGCAGGGTGGTGTAGACGAGAGAGCAGCTAAGCTGGCCTGGGCTCTGCTCAAGTGACACCGTGGTGGCTGGTCCCCGGGCTCCACATCCCCCTGGCATTGGGCCAGAGCTCTCCTAGACCCGGCAGAGGTGGGCCTTGTCCTGTAGTGAGATCAGATCCTCACCCCCGCCCCAGGAACAGTTCCATGCGCCTGGAAACCGGAGGGGTGGGCGGGAGGGGGTGAGGGAGAAACACCGGCTGGCTTACCTATCAGGAGCCAGCCCTGGGCAGTGTTTAACCTCACCGTTCACCTGTGCAGCGATCGTGGGGGGGGTGGGGTGGGCTCATTGGCCCCATTCCACAGGTGAGAAAACTGAGGCCCGGGGAGGGAGCGATCACTCACTGGATGGCAGAGCCGGAATCTACCAGATGCCTAACACCCTCCGACTGTTCCTTTTACTTTTTCCTAATATTTCTTTATTTATTTGGCTGCACTGGGTCTCAGTCGCGGCATGTGGGATCTTAAGCTGTGGCATGCGGCTGACTGTTTAAAAGTGTGCTCATTATAGACATTTTGGAAAACAATAACAGAGCATCTTAAGTCCTGCTGGCGAGCGGGGGGCTTTAGTCTCCCGAGCTACCTGCTTGTGGAGGCGCCCTGGGCAACTGCCCCCGCCTTCGGCACCTCGGGTCTATGGGCAGGGCGGGTAAGATGGTGTGGGCCCCTCGCAGGGTCAGAAAGGACGGTGCTCGGGCCGGGCTCACAGCGGTTCCCAGGAGGTGTTCGCTTTAGGGGGATGACGGCTGCTAACGTCTTCACGTGCTTGTTACATTAAAAAAAAATTTTGTTGGCCACACCCTGCAGCAAGTAGAACTCACACCCCTTGTATTGGAAGGTAGAGTGTTAACCACTGGACCTCCAGGGAGGTCCGTCTTTAAAATGCATATCCATGTTATCTATTTTTTGCTAAAATCGGGATCATTCTGTTGTCTGTATTATATTCTGCTTTCTGCACTGAATATTAAGGACAGTTGTCACGTTATTAAAGAGTCCGCCAAGCTGGACTTGGGGGTTGACCCGTCCCTTGCAGTCCCCGGTGCTGGGCACTGAGCTTGCTTCTGCATCTCGGGCACTTCGCGGTGCTCCAGGCCAGCAGCTGCCCTTCTGCCCCCGTCAGTCTTCTTCCTTCACCCCGTGGCCTGAGGGCTCCCCGCTGCCTGCGGGTGGGCACAGCCTGGTCTCTTCACCTGCCTGCCCCTCCTGCCGGGTGCCTTCCGGCCCCTCTCCCCTCCCATGTCCTGGGACAAAGTGCTGCCTGTCCTTCGTGAACCCTCTTCTCTCTGACCCCGGGTTGGGGTGCCTGCTCTGAGGTCTGGGCCCCTTCTCCTCCACCCACCGTGGTGCCCAGCCCCCACCCAGCAAGTGTGCTGAACCGAGTCCTGCTCCGGGGCTTATCTCCTACACACACCCCGGGCCCTCCAACTGGAGTCAGGGTGTGTGAGCGGGAGCTCGGGCCCTTCATTTTGTGATGAGGAAACCGAGGCCCAGTCAGGGGTGCTGATAGGTTTGGGGGTCCCATGGCACATCCAGGCAGCACTGGCCCCCAGTGTGCAGCCGGCTGGACTCTCGGCCCCAGTGAGCTCAGCTCTCTGGCGCCCGGTAGGTCCTCAGTGCAGACCTGGGGGCTGCCGGGCAACGGGGAGTGGAGCGACCCGAAGACTGAGTCCCCTCGGCCCCTGCCTGGGGGGCTCCAGCCCTGGGGGTGGTGTCGGCAGCACGCCTGCCCTGAGCCCTGCCAGCCTCTCAGGGCTGCTGAGGGCCCTTCACCAGCCTTCAACTCCGTCCCTTTTCACCCCAACCTGAAGGTTTTCGACCTGGGCGGAGCCTGGCCCCAGAGTGCTGTGTGACCCCAGGCAGGCTGCTTTCCCTCTCTGAACACGGGGAAGGGGAGGCGATCTCAGGGCAGACCTGTGGGCTGATGGTGAAACACCTGTACACAGAGATACCCCCAGTGGCCTGACGCAGGTCGGGACGCTGATGTCCCGTCATTTGTCGGAGGTCACTGGGTTGGGAAGATCCCCTGGAGAAGGGAAAGGCTACCCACACAGGATTCTGGCCTGGAGAACTCCATGGACTGTTTAGTCCGTGGGGTCGCGAGGGAAGTCGGATACTGCTGAGTGACTGACTTTTCTCAGTACGTTGGTGGGGAGTGGGGACTCGAGTGAAGCTATCTGATACAAGTTGTCGCGTGAATGAGTGACTGAATGGGATGTCCCGGAGCTCTGCGTGCAGGTGTGGACTGACGCAGCCTCGTAGAGCCTGGGCCAGCACTCGGCCTGGGCAGGAAGGGCTGGGTGGCCTTCTTGGTGGAGGCTACCCAAATGGCCTTGAATCAGGTGGCAGAGAGGAGGGGTCATTTACCAGGAGACCCAAGGTCAAGGGTGAGGGTGCGAGAGCAGAGGAGCCTGGCAGCTGGAGCAGGGGCCGGCGTGGAGCTGGCAACGGGCAGGGGCGCCTGGGGGCACCTGCCCATCAGGGCAGTCGGTGGGTGGGGCCTGAGTTTGGGTGGAAGTGTGTTCCCGGGAGCTCTTGGGCTGGGGCGCCGCAGGCTGTAGGATGAACTCAGCACCCCCCACTCCCCAGCCTCGCACGTCTTTTCTGCACCTTCTGCTTGTTCCATCAATTGCTTGGTCAGTCCATGAGGGACGAGGGGCCGGTAACAGCCCCATTGCAGATCTGCTCACGGTAGGTCCTTAGGAAATGCCAGGGGAGGCCCCACCCCCACTCGGCAGCCTCCCCATCTCTCACCGCAGCCCTGTCTTCCCTTTCAGAACTTTCCGGAACAGCAGCTGCAGCCGCAATGGCCCCGCCCTGGGTGCCCGCCGTGGGCTTCACGCTGGTGCCCAGTCTGGGGGGCTTCCTGGGCACCCAGTACATCCGCGGAGAGGGTTTCCGCTGGTACGCCAGCCTGCAGAAGCCCTCCTGGCACCCGCCCCGCTGGATCCTGGCCCCCATCTGGGGCACGCTCTACTCGGCCATGGGGTAGGTGGGCGCAGGCGCTGGCGTGGCCCCTGGGTCTGTCCACCTGCCAGGCAGGCGGGGCAGGGGAGGCCCAGGCCCGAGGCCTGAGCGTCTCCTCCAGAGGTGAACTCTCCAGGTGCCCGTGGGGAAGCGGGCACCGTTTCCCAGCCCCGTTTGGCAAGTGAAAGTGGAGAAAGCTTGAGGCCTGTTGGTTGCACAACCGAACGCTTCCCTCTGAGGCCTCCTGGAAGGGGCGGCAGCCCCGTACTGGCACTCTGGCTGCTTTCACAATTTCAGGGAGAGGCCGGCCCCGTGTGTGAAGTGCAGACGTGGGCAGGCGGATGCTTCCAAGATCAACAGCAGTCACTGCAACAGCAGTTTGTTGGGCATCCGCCTGGGGTCAGGCTTTGCCTTTGTTAGGATTCACGACCCCTCGTTTGACAAGAGACCTCCCAAGGACACCGGGCTATGGAGTAGGGGCCCCACAGACCTTCCTGGACGAGACCCCCGAGGTGCCAAGGGAAAAGCAGGCCTGGGTGGGGGAGGGCGCGCCCTGCTGGCTGCAGCGGGATTTGCACCCAGGAGACTAGTCAGCTTCCCACCGTCCTCTGCAAAGTTCCCACACGCAGGTTCTGTGCCAGCCCAGTGGGACTGCAGGGGGCAGAGAGCAGAGACCGGGCCGATGCCCCAGGCTCCTGATGGGAGTAAGACGGTCCTCGAGGCCTGAGTGTCAGCCGGGCCGCACCCTCTTCCAGCCCCGGGCCCTGCACCATTGGCCTGTGTTTCTTCCCGCATCCCGCTTTCTCCTCATTGTCCTGGTCCAGAGGCACCACTGTTGCTGCCTCCACTTGCTCCAGCCTCCAGGCCTCCCTTCCCCATCAAGATTCCGATAGAGCATTAGTCTGACATCACCTCTCTTTTTGCGGAACTCGGCAAACCTCTCAGAGTAGAAAGCTCAGCCTCTGGCCTCAGACTAGCTGGATTCAAAAGCAGACTCATTTCCCGACAGCCTGCCAAGAACTCTGAGCACTTCTCCCCTCTGCGCCTCACTTTCCACACCTGTGAGATGGGGGTGACAGTCCTGCCCACCTCATGGTGGATGAGTGAGCTAATGCTTGCAGAGAGGTGCCTGCATGTGTAAATGTGGAAGAAGTGAAGTGAAGTGAAAGTTGCTCAGTTGTGTCAGACTCTTTGCGACCCTATGGACTATGTAGTCCATGGAATTCTCCAGGCCAGAAGACTGGAGTGGGTAGCCTTTCCCTTCTCCAGGGCATCGTCCCAACCCAGGAATCGAACCTAGGTCTCCTGCATTGTGGGCAGATTCTTTACTGTCTGAGTCAGCAGGGAAGCCCGTATATTGGCCTGTGAAGTCGCTCAGTCGTGTCCAACTCTTTGCGACCCCACGGACTGTAGCCTACCAGGTTCCTCCATCCATGGGATTTTCCAGGCAAGAATACTGAGTGGGTTGCCATTTCCTCCTCCAAGAGAACTTCCCAACCCAGGGACTGAAGCCGGGTCTCCCACATTGTAGGCAGATGCTTTACCATCTGAGCCACCAGGGAAGGTCTATGGGCCTAAACCTTTACATGTTTGTGGCCTAACCCTGGCAAACTCACCCTTATCTCCTAAGGCCCAGCCCCAAATCCCCTAGGGCACATTCACCTGCATGCCTCTGTACATGCTTCACTCTTGACAACACTGATGATGATGATGTCAGTATTTATTGAGTGTCCTACTCAATTATTTATTGAGTACCTGTCCTAAGGGCAGCCAGGTACTGCCCTTAGCACCACCAACATATTAACTAGAATGTCTGCAGCGACCCCATGAGTGACAAAGGCCCAGAGAGGTTAAGCAAGTTCCTTGAGGTCACACAGCAGTCAGTGGCAGGGCATGCCTGAGTCATCACTCCGTGGTCTCAGAGGTGAGTGTGGCTTCCTGCCTTCCAGGGAGGCCCCTGGCCTCTTCCCTGTTGGTGCCCTGACCGGTAGCCTCTGTTTCAGGTATGGCTCCTACATGATCTGGAAAGAGCTGGGGGGCTTCTCGAAGGAGGCGGTGGTTCCTTTGGGCCTCTACGCTGGGCAGCTGGCTCTGAACTGGGCATGGCCTCCCCTCTTCTTCGGTGCTCGACAAATGGGCTGGGTAAGTGTGGCCTTGGCTTGTCTCCCTGGTCCCTGGAGATGAGCCCCCCATGGGGGGACATGGGGTACCATATCCCAGTCCCCCAGGCCCAGGATCTAAAGGTGGGGGGCAGGGGAGGCATATGGCTCCTGGTCCATTCAGAAGCTCTTAGTGGAGGGTACTTACCTGGTGGTCCAGTGGCAAGACTGCGCTCCCAATGCAGGGGGCCCCGGGTTTGATCCCTGGTCAGGGAACCTGATCCCGCATGCTGCAACTAAGCCAAATGCAGCCAAATAAATATAAATATTTTAGGACTTCCCTGGCAGTGCAGTGGTTAGGACATCACACTCCCAATGCAGGGGGTTTGAGTTTGATCCCTGGTTGGCGAACCAAGATCCCACATGCCACGGGGTGTGGCCAAAAAGAGAAAACACAGAAGCTCTTAGGGGACCAGTGCCCCTCAGCTGCTTCTCCTCCATGAAGGAAGCCTTGTGGGGCTCTGACTGAAGCTCCGTGGATTTAGGGGCCTTGGGTGCTGGAAAGCCCACCTTACGGCTGATGCTGTGCACCCCTCCATGTGGCAGAGTCGGGCAAGGGTGGCGGTTCCCATTTTACAGATCAAGAAGCTGAGGCAGAGGATGGGCGCAGGGCCTGGCCAGGTCACTGAGAGGCGGCTGGAGAGTTCCCTCCGTCACTGTGGTTAGCGGGCAGCTGGGACACACCGCCCCGTGGCTCGTGGCGCCTCAGGCCTCCCCGTCCTCGTCTCTACAGGCCTTTGTGGATCTCCTGCTGACCGGCGGCATGGCAGCAGCCACAGCCATGGCCTGGCGCCAGGTGAGCCCGCCGGCCGCCTGCCTGCTGTACCCCTACCTGGCCTGGCTGGCCTTCGCGGCTGCGCTCAACTACCGCGTGTGGCAGGACAACCAGGGCCGGAGGAGCGGCCGGCGGCTCTCGGAATGAGGACGCCTCGCCCTCCGAGGACTGCAGCCGCTGCGGGTCAGGCACTGCCGGTGGTGGGGGCCCCCCCGGGCTCTCACAGCCACCAGGCCGCCTGTCTGCTCTCAGCCCAGGGGGTGACCGGCTTTCAGAGGTGTTCCGGGCTGAACCCCCACCCCAGAAACAGCGTCCTGCGCCTTCAGCCCTGCTCAAAGCTCGCTTTCAGAACATGGAATTTTATAAACCAAATAAAGTGTTTCAACTTCTTGGCCATGGCCTGGTTTGCCTGGGTGGGAGCCCTGGCCGTGGGGAGGGCGAGGGCCTCGCCCTCCGGCTGGGTGTGTCTGGGCTGGGTCATCCACAGGATGCAGACTCACACCTCTCAGGACCCTTGCAGGAGAGGAGGTGGCCTGCCCAGGGTGGAGCGGCAGACACGGGCAGAGAACGGGTGCAGCCTCCGCCCCCAGCCCGGGGAGGGGGGCCCGCCCACCCTCTCCACATCCAGGAAGCCCAGCCCAGGCACCTGAAGGGCCCAGGCCCTCAGTCGGCCCGGTCCACCGCCGGGCTCTGCTCAGGCCCCAAGCATGGTTCTCTGCTGGCCTCAGCCGGGATGCGTGCCAGGCCTCATAGCAAGCTCACCCCACCCGGGACAAACACCCCATCAGGGAGGGGATGTCAGAGGCGGTACTGAGAGAGCAGCCCCTCCCTGGCTCGGCTCACCCAGACATGGGAGGTGTCATCCTGACCCCGAATCTGGTGACCCATGACCTCTCCTGACACCTGTCCGGAGTGAGGCTGGCAGAGCCTTGGACACAGGCTCCTGCTAGAACCCCTACCTCCAGGCCAGGTTCTAACTGGGAGCGAGCAGGAGCGATCACTACCCCGTAGGCATCGATGAAAAACCTGGTGTGAGCACTCGGCATGAGGGGCACAGGGAGGCCCCTGGCCCACGTTTCGGGGCCTCTGCCTTCGTATTTTAACCTTCAAAACCCACTGGGGGCACCCCTGTGCTGGCCGACAGCACCTGGGACCATCCCCTGCTGCCCTGTGGGAGTCTCAGGGTCTCGCATCATCCCCACCGCCAGGATGTGGGGACAGGCAGGGGGAATTCCATCCCCAAGATCCCCAGGTTCAAGTGCTGGAGCCAGGACTCGGGGCTCACATGAGGACCCAGGTTCCCAGGTGTCGGTCATGAGACAGAGACGGGCCTCAGCTCCACAGCGGTCCCTCCCAGGTCTGCTCTGAAACGGAACCAGTGCTGGGACTGTAAAGGAAGCTGAGTGCTGAAGAATCCTGGTGCTGGAGAAGACTTCTGAAAGCCCCTTGGACTGCAAGATCAAACCAGTCGATCCTAAAGGAAAGCAGTCCTGAATATTCACTGGAACGACTGATGTTGAAGCTGAAGCTCCAATACTTTGGCCAGATGATGCAGAGTCAACTCACTACAAAAGGTTCTGATGTTGGCAAAGATTGAAGGCAGAAGGGGAGAGCAGAAGATGAGATGGTTAGATAGCATCAGCAACTCAATGAACTTGAGCAAATTCTGGGGGATAATGAAGGACAGGGGAGCCTGGTGTGCAGGAGTCCATGTTGGACATGACTTAGTAACTGAACCACCAGGAAATCAAGCTTTGGGTCAGGAACTGCTACAGCCTGAATATTGACTCTCTCTCCAATTCATGTTGAACTCCTAACCCCCAGTGAGAGGTTGGTTGGTGGGGCCTTTGGGAGGCGACTATGTCACGAGGGTGGGGCCCCCACAAATGGGATTAGTGCCTTTTTAAGAGACCCCAGAAACCTCCCTCCTCCCTTCCATCATGAGGACACAATGAGAAGACAGCTGACCAAATCAGGAAGAGGGTCCCACCTCAGACACATTATCTGCTGTCCCTTTGACCTTAGGCCACCCCAACCTCCAGAACAGATTTCAGTTGTTTAAAGCACCCAAACCCAAACAGACTGACAAGGACTTGGAGACCTAATTACCACCTCATTACTTCTGTTTTTCAAAGCATGTTTGTGCATGCTCAATCATGTCCGACTCTTGTGACCCCATGGACCACAGCCCGCCAGGGTTCTCTGTCCTTGGGATTTCCCAGGCAAGAATAGTGGAGCAGGTTGCCAGTTCCTTCTCCACGGGATCTTCCTGACCCAGGGATCCAACCTGTGTCTCTGCTGCCTCCTGCACTGGCAGGCAACTCTTCACCATTGCGCCACCTGGGAAGCCCCTTCACAAAGCCCTCATCTTGGTACTTTGGTTTTCTTCGACAACCAGAGGAAAACAACTGACACATCAGGCAGGCCTGTGGTTCCAGGGCCCCAAGGAGAAAAGGGAGGCAGGGGTACAGAAAGCAGACTTTATGTAGCACAAACCGAGTCAGGAGGGGACAGGACACAGCAGCTCTCTGCGGGGAAAACCAGAGTTGAGGCATCCTGCCCTCTAACCTCCACTCGGCTGGAGGGAGGGGTGCTTCCCCAGGACACAAGCTGAACTTGTGGGTAACAGACAGGATGGGCAGACACACCCCTCTGACGGACACAGAGGTGAGAGGCACAGTCAAGTCCAGTTTTGCTACAAAGATCACTCTTGGCTCCAGAGTGAAACAAGCACCCCCCTCCCCCCGCCCCCGCCCAACACACACACACACAAACACGAAAGCTCTGCAGGAAGCTCTCCTCCATAAGTCAGACCCAGACAGACAGACAGACACACACACACGAAAGCTCTGCAGGGAGCTCTCCTCCAGAAGTCAGACCCACCGCCTCGTGAGCTGGGCCTAGGTACACTGTGGCTATACAAACTCTGCTGCAAACGGACTCAAAATTCCAGAAACATAATAAGAATGAGAACTCTGTGTTTTCTTCCCATAAATGAAAAAGTAACAAAAATCCCACTTTTTGACTCTGGCCGGTGGAAGGCAGCCTCTGGAATTGTCTTTCTCAGCCATCCACCACCTGGTGTCCTGCTGTCCACCTGTCCCCAAGCCCCCTCACCAATGTCCCAGCCAACCTCAGACGAGGTGAGGACCCCTGTGGGGCCCAGTGGGCTGGCAGGACCTGGCACCACACTGTGGCCTGTCCATGGGGCCGGACGGAAAAGCAACAGCAGCCAAGGGGAGTGGCCTCCCGCCCTGGAGCCTCAAGGAGGTTTTGCTGGTGAAGGTTCGACTCGGGGGCGGGGGTGAGAGGTTTGGCTCTGAGAAGCCAGCTTCCTGGGGTGATCTGGGGATGCCTATCCCAGGGCCTGGGGTGGAGCGTGGGAACAGCCAGTCTGGCCTGTTAGCGTCTGGATTCCACAAGGGCTCCTGGGGAACCTCGTTCCTGAGAACATCTCGTCATGCTTCCTGGAACCCCTTTCATGAACACCACTGGAACCAAGCTCTCTGGGATAAAGCCCTTGCTGAGCTGATAAGGACCACCACACAGTCGCTGGAGAGGGGCGTGTGGACTGGGGCCTGACGCTCGACCCTAGGGACCGACCAAGGGGAGGTGGGCCCCTGAACTCCAGGGTGGGAGGCTGGAACGACGGCTCGCGGCGGGTGGGGGAGTGGGGGTGGGGACACTTTGCAGAAGCAGCTCTGAGAACTGAGGCTGGAATCCGCCCATAAGCACCAGGAGGGCCAGCGGGTGCCTAGAGGAGGCGGGTGACGGGGCAGCCGTTGGGCTCGTCCAGGAACAAGGTGCTGAAGATGTCGTTGAAGAAGCTTGGGTGGTACCTGCAGGCTCGCTCGCAGTCCGGGTTGAAGTTCACCTCCAGGATCTGCGGCTGCATCACTCGCTTCCCTGATGGCATAGAAGCACAGCCTATCTCACTCCGGGGAGGCGGGGTGCTGGGGGCTGCGGGGCTTCTCCGGGGGGCGGCCTGGCCAGAGGCATGCTCTTGTAGGGGGAAGACTGGGGCCGCCTCCAGCCCCGGGAGTGCCACGAGCCACCACACCCCGCTCAGATGTCTGGTTCAGTGGGACGCTAGGCCCCCTCTCCTCGCACGCAGGGCGCCTTTTCTCATGATCCCTCTCCTTTCCCCCTGGTGCTCCGCCCTGCACCTCAAGGTGGGCTGCGGACCCTCAAGGTGGGCCTCCTCTGACCCAGATCTCCAGGTTAATCAGAGGCAAGGGGCATGGGGCAGCACGGACCAGGCCGAGGCAACAGCGCCCCCTCTCTGTCCCTGGGGGGCTGGTGTGGCGGCTGGAGGATCAGCTCTGGGTAAATGGGGGCGGGGTGGGGGAGCCCCCTCACCATCCGGACGACTGTCCCACTTCAGCATGAGGTCGACGGCATACACCGCCCGGGATGAGGGGTAGTCACAGATGCCCAGCGGGGGTGGCCTGGCACATGCCACCTGGAACAGCTCCGTGAAGGCCTGGAAGATTTCAGCCTGGGGGCCAGAAGGGGTGGGGGGACAGGGTCAGGGGGCCTGCAGGCTGACACTGGGACCAGCCCCTCGGAGTAGCCTCTCAACAAAGGGGCTCACTGCCCCTTCCTAAACCCTGGTCTCCAAGCAGCCACGTCACCTCCTCCGACATCTTCCATGATCTGCAGCCGGACTCTCACTCCCCTCACACCTGGCACCCACTCCCTGCAGACCTGTGTTCTCCTGCCTCAGATCTTCCACAGCTCCTTCTGCCCCAAGCCCAGCATCTGAGATGCTGACTCCAGGACGTGGGGACCAGCCCCCAGGTATGCGATTCCTGGGATGCACAGAGCCCGTGTATGTCCCAAGGGTGGTCCTGAAGGCCCCACCAGGCTCCTCCTCTCCCCAAGGAGCCCTCGTGACACCCCACTAGGGCCAGAGGGGAGGAGGGGGTCTCACCCATACCCTTTCTCTCTGGTGGAGGAGCTGGACCACCAAGAAAAGGCGAAGGCCCCCCCATGTGCCTGATGCTGCCCATGAGGCAAGCCCTGGCCCCTCGAGCTTGACCAGCACTCACCTGGACGCTCTTCCAGGGGAACTCTGGGTACTGTTTCTCAAACTCTGGGATGAACTCGTTGTAGTGTACCTGCAACAGACACAGGGCCCGTCATGCTCCTCCCGGGGCCTCCTCTGCGCAAGGACGAGGGAGGCCTGACCTGTCCTGACTTCACACTCACTGGAGCTGACACTCGCTGGGGTCCCAGGGGGGCGCCCACGGCCTCTCCAGCTCCACCCCTGCCAGCACAGATCGGAGGCAGGAGATGGGGTCTGAGCCCTGGACACATTTACTTCCCAGGGCCTCAGTGTTTCCATGTGTAAAATGGCACAGTGCTTCCTGCCCAGTAAACCTGCTTTGCAGGTGGCTGTGAGGTCCCAGTAAGGCAGTGAGTGCTGAGAGGGCTGGCCGACGGGTCACCATGGCCCTTTCAGAATGGTCACTGGAGGCAGAACGCGGACCTGGGCCTGCAGGGCCCGTGTCTGAGCTCCGCAACGGCTTGAAGTGCCTGCCGACGGCAAGGGCTTCTTAGGCCAAGACTGCACCCAGCACACACCTGAGCTCGCTGGTCGGCGGCTCAGGTTCCTCCCAGAGGGCCAGAGCCAGCTCCCTAGGAAGCCCAGCGTCCACATACCCCCCACGCGGGGGCATCAGAGGGGACGTGACCCTCAGAATGATGTCTGCTCCGCAGAGGGCGGGCGCTCAGGCCTCAGAGACGACCTCAGCTCCAGCCCAGGGCTCTGGCAAGGGCTCAGGGTCCTCGGGACAGCTGCTAACACAGCCCTGGACAAGAGGAGGGACACACAGCAGCAGCCCTGCTGGGTGGGCATGCGGCCTGGCCCCTCTGACAGCGCAGGGCCCCCAAAGGATATCGCACACATGGAACAGCGAGTGTTCAGTGCCGCTCAGGGCTTCCCTGGTGGCTCATAAGGTAAAGAATCTGCCTGCGATGCAGGAGACCAGGGTTTGATCCCTGGGTCGGGAAGATCCCCTGCGGAGGGGCGTGGCAACCCACTCCAGTATTCTTGCCTGGAGAATCCCATGGACGGGCCATGGCGGGTCACGAAGTGTGGGACACAATGAAGTGACTAACACATACACACGCAGTTCAGTTTGCTAATACATCGCCGTGTGCCGGGGCAGTAAGAGCCCCACTCTCAGGAGCAGCTCTGCTGTGTGGAGGTGGGGACCTCAGGGCCACGGCAGGGCGTGGGCAGGGTGGAGAGCGGCTGTGCCCTGTCCCGTCTGCCCCGAACAGTCAGGACCAACACCCCTCCGGGCTCTCTTCCTCCACCGGGAGCTGGGCCCTGCCTCTGCCCAGAAGGAGCCTCCCCCATCTGCCCCAGGTGCCCTGCAGGTCAGCTGGGGGTTGATGCCCTCACCTCGAAGGAGCCCTGCCCCTGTGCCCTCTTGCTCAAGGCACCCAGACAGCCCAGGGAAGACAGAGGGTCCAGGCGGGGTCACAGGCCAGCAGTGGCCACCCGCCTTGGGCGCCGTGTGACACGAACCATGGAAACCTCAGGGCCCTGTTATCTCGACCTGAGCGAGTGTGCGCCTCCGAGCACTGGGTGCAACGCTGGGAGGGACACAGGTCCCAGAGGGTAGCTCCCCTGACCAGTACGCAGCTGGCCTGGAAGACACACTGATGGGTGTGTGGTCCCGTCTGCGCCAGCCTCCACGGGGACCTGGCTCCCAAGGTCCCGCGAGGCCTCACCTGCTTCAGCACCACTTCCGGGTCATAGTTCATGACAGTGAAATGCTTCTCGTAGTCATCCAGGTCGTTGAGGGCAAAGGGCCTGCAGGATGAGCAGATGGACACTCAAGTGGGTCCCGAGCGCGGCTGGTCCCAGCGGGGTAGACAGGCAGTTGCTCGGAGCCCCCGGCCGAGCATCCGTTCTCCCACTGGTGAGAGCGGGCGGGTTGGTCCCATGGCCCCCGTGGGCTCACCACTAGACCCCCACGAGCCCCTAAACATCGACAGGGTGTGCAGGGCTGGGGTCACACAAGGAGGTGCTGATTTGGGGAGGATTACCGCCGGTTATCAGAAATGGGCTCAGCGGGGTCCCTGCTGGGGAAGGAGCCCCGGTGCAGGTGTTCTCATCCAGAGTAAAAGAGGCACACCTCCCCCCATCCCCAGCCCAGCCGCCCACCTGCCGCCCAGCTTTCATTACCGGTTGGAGAACCGCAGCCAGAACACATCGTAGACGAACAACCTCAGGGGCTTCACCGACCGCAGCAGCAGGATGTAGCGGATGTCGAACTTGACCTTCCCCACGTCCTCCCGAAGGAACAAGACGGGACTCTCGATGTACTTGGACACAACCTGAGAACACAGGAGCAGGCTTGCGTGTGCTCGCCTCGCCCCGGCCAGGACAGAGTGACCTAGCCTCCCCGGCCGTGGCTCATGCCCGGGGGACCCCTGAGCTCGGTCACGCCTGGAGCAGCGGACTCACTCTCGAACCTACCCCCCCTCCCCCACAACCCCAGGCTCGGGGAGGCCCCTGACTTGGTATCTGCCCCCCCGCACTCTGCGTCTTCCTGTCTTTGCACACGTGTCTAAAACTGCAACAAGCTCTTTCTCGTCATCGTTAATTGAGAGAAAAGATGCCACTGATTTTTAGACTTTGAAAACAAACTCTCAGCCATAAATCCACCGGTTCCCCATCCCAGGGCTGGGAGCCTCCCCAGTGGTCATCTGCTGACTTCTCTCGGGCCTCTGTCCAGGAGCAGAACCTGCGTCCTTCACTTCCCCCACTGCTGGCCCCTCGTCACTACAGCACCTTTCTCCACGGCCCTACAGGGCTCCCTGACCCAGCCACCTTCCTCCTGAGGGTGGTCCCCTGGGGGGGCTCCCTTCCTGCCGGCAAGGGCAGCAAGCAGCGACTCCTCCCAGCTTAGCGACGACGCTGCCACCAGGACCCGCCCCCGCCAGTCCTCGAAAGCAGGCCTCCCCCCACCTGCCAGCGCCACAGGGCCCCACCTTGGGGGAGCTCTCGCGGTGCCGGACGATGCTGTGCAGGTTCTTGGTGATGTGGGTGTCCAGGCTGCGGGCCAGGTTCCAGGGCTTGCAGATCCAGTGGTTGTCCTCCCCCCTAGGAGCAGGGAGGTCAGCTAGGCGGTGTGCCCCCAGGACTGCGGCCACAGAGGGGGCCAAGGGAGGGGTCCCAGAGAAAACCTCAAGGCTGGGCTTTGGTAGCCAGCAGGTGGCTGAGGCCAAGGGAGCTGCCCTCCAGATGGAAGTGCCGTCAAGCCCCGCAGCGGGCACGCGGCAGGCGCCGGCCATGGGGCGGGCCAGGCTGACTGGGACGGCGGGGCGCTCAGGGGTGGGGGCCGCAGGAGCCTGCTGGGCGTTGTCTCAGCTAGTGGGGCGCACAGGGGAGCTCACCGCCTCTCCCGCTGCTGGAAGTAGCTGATGAACTGGGGCAGCTCCGTGTGCAAGTTGAAGGTGCGGGGCAGCCAGGCCGGGCCCTCGGGGCCGCCCGCCCGGCGCGCGATGGAGGCCAGGCAGTCCTTCACTGTCAGCAGGCTCTCGCAGGGGAACTGGTTCAGCAGCACATTGGGCCTCTCCTGGCTCAGCCTCCTGCGGGGCCCAGGCAGGCGCCGCCGTTCAGGAGAGGCGGGGGCTCCCGGGGGCAGGGGAGGTGGGCCGGGCCCCTGGGCTGGGAGGCGCCTCACCTGTAGTCCTTGAAGTGTGAGAAGTTGTAGAGGACGTCGGCGTCCGCCTCGCTCTGGGTGAAGGTGAAGCGTGGGTGGGTGAGGTGGCTGAGCACCTGCCGGATGTCCGTGTAGACCCTGCGGGGGCGGGGCTGAGGTCAGCCGGACGGGCTCGGATCATGCCATCTGCATTGTCCGCCCAGCGGTGGGGCCCTCGGACCCTGGTGACCCCGGATCCCCCACTTGTGAGACGGGACCCCAGGGCCCAGCTCCTCGCGCTCATCCTGAGGATAAAACAGGACAACCCCAGTGTTTCACCGACCCGGGCTCCTGCCTCCCACGTGCCAACAGGACGGGCGGACACGCTTAAGGAGGGCTGCCTTCAGAGAAGCAAGCTGGCGCCCCAGGGCCCAGACAGGTGCCCCAGACAAGGCCTCATTCCACACTGGCACCAGCCCTGGCTCTGGGCAGGGGAGAGGACAGGGGGCCTGGGACTGTGTCTGCCAGGGGCAGTAGACGTGGCCACACTTTGAAAGCAATAGGGCTGCAAATGAGGGTGGGAGGGAGACAGGACCCCACCTGGACAGTGATCCAGGTGCGGGGAGAGAGGCGAGGCCAGCACGAGGCATCTAGCTCATGGCCGGGGCACAGCTACGGCTGGGGACGAGGCGACGGGGCCTTGGTGCAGCCTCCGACCCAGTTAGTGGAGGGGTGTTGGGCAGTGGCCTCGGGGAAGGGGAAGATAGCTAGAGGGGAGGAAACCCCCAGGGTCTGAGGGGAAGGGACAGAGTGGAGGAGGTTTGGGCAGCCAGAGGGAGGGGACCCCCTGAAGACGGAGGCCAAGCTGCCCCAAGGTGGCTGTTATCTGGGGGGCATCCCTCTGTACCTTCCTCACCTGTAAAATGGACCGTCTACTTCCACCCCATTGGAGCCTGGGCTTGCAGGCCTGTCTGGCCTGACGGAAGCTGCCAGCCCACAGCTGCAGACAGCTGGCCGTGGCCCCTCCTGGTCGCCTGGGTGCCCAGGACCATTGGCACTGTCTGCACTGGCTCCCAGCTCACCCTCCCTTCTCAGGCGTCTCTCTGTGACCCTCAGACCCCACCCCTGGCGGTCCCGTCACTGCTGTGCTGCCTGGAGGCGGCAGCCTGCATGGGGGATGTCCCAAGAGTCTGGGGAGTGCGTGAGGGAAAGCAGTGAGAAGTCTCGTCCCAGTCTGGGGGTGCGGGCAGGCTACGCACTTGAAGATGTGGTCGCAGGGGTACCCCGCGGGGCTGATGGCCAGGGGCAGCTTCTCCTTGTTCTCCTCCAGTATGGCCTAGAAGGGAAACGCTGGAGGTAGAAACAGACCTTCAAGAAAGGGAGCAAGTGAGCACAGGCCTCCCGCCCTACACACCAGGCTTGTGTGACCCTGGGGCCACACCTGGCGCAGGTAGAGCCCTTCTCAGGTGCCGGGGTGCCCGGAGCCCCCCAACCACTCCCGCCCCAGGATTCCGGGGCTTGAGGCTGCTCAGGTCCCCAACAGACTGTTCGGTGTCAAAGGAACAGTGTAGACACTGCTCTCAACCTTCCTGTCGCTTCTAAACGCCTCTTCCAAGTCATAGGCTGCCTAGAAGGTGCCAGGCTTTTCCCGGACAGGGTCTTCTCTGAGCGTAAGCGGTGTGATGGTTTAAAACCTGTTCACATACTTTCTGACATTCTGTTCTAAAGGCAGAGTTAATAACGCATCTCCCCTTGAGCGTGGGTTGGGCTGAATGACATGTTTATAACCCACGGGAAGAAGCGGAGTCTGCCAACTCGTGAAAGGGCCTGTGGCCTCCTCCCATCTCCCCTCCGATCACTTCCTCCCAGGGTCAGCCGCCATGTCCCGAGGACGGTCAAGAGGCCCCCCACCCAAGGCCAGCACCACCTTCCCAGGCCTGAGTGCGCCACGTCGGGGCTGGTCCTCAGCCCGACCAAGCCTCAGACGACAGCCTGACTGTGCTCATGAGAGCCAGGGCTAGAAACACCCAGCTGAGCCACTCCCCATCTCCTTTCCACAGAAAGCAGGACATAACAAACGTCTGCTGTTCTGAGCAGCCACGTTTTGGAATAAACTGTCACCTGGCACTAGCTGACTAATACAGGCAACCCCAGGGCCCAGAGCACAGGCCTGACCCAAATGGGTCAAAAACCACCAGGATGTTTAAGAAAACCAGTGTCTGGACTCTTCTCCTCTTCTTGGGCCAGTGGGGGGCATTCCCCCTACTCCCCTGAAAATTACTGATTTCATGTTCCTTTAACAAACTCAAGACCAGAAGTCTTTGTCCCTAAGCCACCCGTCAGCCACTCCTTTGCATTCACACACTCGTTCAAGTGTTCAGTAAGCCCCTACAAAGCGCAAGCACTCTACGAGGCTCTGAAATACACCTCTGAATTAAGAAGGGTGATCACTGAGTTTCTAACAGGGCTCAACCACCATTGGCTTAAATTCACAGGGAAAAGCGCCAACAGGCCCACCGTGTCAGCCCAGCCCTCCCAGCCAGAGGATCACAGAACAGCTAACACCAGGCACCCTGCCCACTCGTTATCTCGGGGTTAACTCCCTTCCTCCTTTCCCAATCTTCTGGGGCGCTCAGTGAGTGTCTGATAGGCTGGTGGGGGGGCAGAGAAACGTCAACATGATGTGGAAAGGCTAGAGCCTCGGCCTGCAAGGGTCCCAGGACCCTCCGAGTTTGGACTCCAGCTCTTCTGCCAGCTGTGTGGCCTTTGACAAGTGACTTAACGTAACCTCTCTATGCGTCAAGTTTCCCCACCCCCCACTAAATGACGATACAACAGGAATGGAGGTCCTATTCTAAGGGCTACAGCTGAGCATGCCCAGAAAGTGCTAAGCAGAAGCTTGTGCATCCCTTGGTTTCCAACTGGGATGAGCGGATGAGATGCAGCGGCTGGAGATGAAGGCGGGGGAGAAGGAGAGGGGGCTGGGGTGTCAATTCCCGCTCAGCTCTGCCTGGTTCTGCTCCCAAAGGCTCTGCCGGCTGCACCAACCCTGGCTCCCGATGCTGGCCTGCCTCATGGACTGGGCCCTCCACCAGTCAGGCCCTGTGAGTGGGTCCCCTGGCCCTGGTGAGGCCCAGACAGTGGACTGTCATCCCCAGCTACGATGCTCATGATGACCACTTGTGGGCCTACTGTGTGCCATGAAACATACCGTGTAGTGTGTAAAGTGTCCTCACACCCCTGGTGAGGGAGGTGTCATGGGACGAGGGAACTGTGCCAAGCCAGGATTCACAGCCCAGCTGCACGGCCCCCACCGCAGACCCCATACGAGGAACAGCAGTATTGCACGCCCCCCACCACCCTGTCTACCAGCTCCACCTCACCCTCTGGAAGGACGGTTCCTAGCACTGGGACCCCAGGGTCTGGGCTTTGAGCTGACGTCAAGGGGTGCGGCCACACGCAGGTCACGTTCGCTCGCCGAGCTTTGAGCGCCTTGTCTCGCAGACACCCCCAGACTCCTCTCTACCTCCCACTGCAGCCAGCTGCGGCTCCACGACATTTGGTGACATGGCGGAGGACATTCCAGAAGCCATCGGGCAAACAGGCCCAGGGGGTCGGGGCCAAGGTCCCACCTGGTAGTGCTCAGCGGGCGGCTCGGGCGTGGCGGAGCTGAGGTCCAGCAGGTCGGTGGGGGCCCAGGGCAGCAGCACACACCTCCGGATCAGCGGGTCGGCCTCTCCGTAGGCAAAGTCCCGGGTCACCTCCTCTGCACCAGGACACACGGGCCGTCAGCGGGGTGGCGGGAGAGCGGCCAGCCCCTCCTTGGGGGGTGGCGGGGCCCCACTTACCGCCCGTGTCCAGGTCCCGCAGGGGCCACAGCAGCGTGTAGGCCACCTGCTGGGGCATGTAGAAGAAGGGGGCGGTGGCAAAGCTGGGCACGTCTGCGTGCTGGATGCGTGAGCCGAACTCGTCCATGATGTACCACACAGGCACCTTCTCCTCGGCCGTCTGCAGGCAGAACACACGCCACCCTCACCCACCGGTCCTTCAGTCCCCGCAGCTTTCCTGGCGTCCACAAACTGAACACCGGCTGCTAGCCCGTCTACACTCAACTCTCAGGGCCTGGAACACCCAGCAGGCACGCCTCTGGCCCCCTGAACACAAGGCTGCGGGGGCCAGGGGGCTGCTGTGTGACTGCAGGTGCGGTAAAGGTGTGTGTAAGGGAGGCACTTAGCCTAGCAGCCACATGAGGATGCTTGGTTTTGTGTGGGGCGGCGGGGAGGAGGGGGAGTTCAGGGAAGGCTTCCTGGAGGAGGTGACGGCTGCGATCACGAGAAACAACTTCTGTCTTTTCCCCAGCCTGAAAGTAGTAGGGGGCTGGTGCGTGGGGGTGGGCTGGGGAGTGATATAAGCCCCAGAGTGTGCTGAAGGGACCGGACTCTACTCCTGAAGGCAGCAAGGAATCACTAGGGCGTTTAAGAGAGTGCTAGAACCTGCAGGCACTGGGAAAGAGACAGCCAGGTCACTGGGCCCACATCTAGGGGTCTGGGACAAGGTTGTGTCCAAGGCCATGCGGACACCTGGGTCTCTGGCACTGGCTGGCCCGAGGCCAAGAGTAACAGGCCCATGATGAAGTCGCAGGGGACCAGGGGAGCTCCCACTGGCCACGGGAAGGGGAGTCTGCTCACTTGTGGGGTCAGGGGACCACCTCCCACCAGCCCTGACAGCACGGGGCGGCGCAGGCCTGGCTGCCCGCTCACCCCGTGGGCCAGCTGGTAGGTCTGGTTGAACTTCCACATCTCCTCCAGAACCAGGTCCACAGCCTCCGCGCTGGGCAGCTCGCCGTGGAACTCGATGCCCATCAGGTTGGCCATGCGGTGCAGCAGCCCCGGCACCTGCTGCAGCTGCTGGCGGGCGTGCGTCACGCGGCACGTCCAGGCATGGTCGATGAGGAAGATGCTGTGGGCACAGGCCACGGGGGGTGGGGGTGGGTGAGGCTGCCACGCAGGCCGGGCAAGAAGGGGGAGAGGTGGGCGAGGACCAGAGAGGGGAGCCACTCAAGGAAGAGCTCGCAGCTATGGCCTGGACCTGGTGCCAGGCCTGGGTGGGGGTCTGGCTCTGCCCGCTGATTTGTCCTGGGAAATCCCCAGCCCTTTCGTCCAGTTTTTCTCGAACAGGGCTACCCACCCCATCGCAGGGCTGACGTGAGGATCAAATGAGACAAACAGCCAGCCGTGGAGGGACTGACTATTACAGTGATCACGGTGAACATTAAGTGTCCTTGGCTGGATTCTGAGCTGCTGGAAAGTTGGCCCACACCCCCCACCTTGCGACCTGCAGGCAGACGCGCCAAGAAGCCCCACACAGAGCTCACTTGCGCTCACCCAGGACTTCTGGGCGTTGCTCAGTAGGTGCCAAGGCCTTGTGCGGGAGAGGCTGTGAGTCCTCATGTGTTCAGACAAGCAGCCCACCCAGGCCAGTCTCCTGGGCCGGCTATGTGGCTCCCACTCCACCTCGCTGGAGGGCGAGGAGTTCCCCTGCAGGCCCGAGGCCCTGCCTGCCCCCAGCCTGCCCGACACCAGCCCAGCCTGGCTGGACGTGGACTCCCCGACGCACAGCCCTGGTCCCCCCAACCCCACTAAAGCAAAAGGAAGAGCAGGCACTCCAGTTCTGCGGTTGGGGGCCGGCTCACCACGCTCATACCACTTTTTGTTGGCACATTCTGAAAAAAATGAAGACTTACTCCGGCCCTCGTGCACTAAGCCAGGAGCACCGGTGGGGGTGGGGGGGGTGACCCGAGCAGGCGCACACGGGGGCTGCCAGAATGGTGGGTGTGGGAGTGGACGGAGGCTGGGCCTGGCCACTGGGGGAGACTCACAAAGGTCCGAGGGCAGACAGGGCCAGGAGTCGAGCCCCCAACCTCGACACCATGCCCATCACACCCCAGACCTGCCTGCTGCTGAGTGTGGAGGGGGTAGGGAGGCAGGGAGCCCCTTGAGGAGGCCGCCGGGCCTGAGTCCTATGGCTGGCACAGGCGGGAACGGAGCAGGCACACACACGGGTCCGCTCTACTGAACTTAATAAGTTTCTGAGTCAGAGAGCACGTGGGTGGTGGTGCCCGTCTGCTCTGATTACCTGTGTGGCTCCTCCCATCCCACCAGGGGCCAGTGAAGGAGCAGGGAAAGTTCTGTGGGAAGAGCTACGGACAACAGATGCCCAGGGACCCACAGGGGCTGGTGAGTTCCCCGCCCCCCCACCCCTGCCCAGGGTTTCAACAAAGTTGTGCCTGCCCGGCCTGAAGACAATCCCTTGGGCCCCTGAGAGGCAGGAAGCCTGGGGTCCAGTCCTGGCCCTCGCCTTTCTACCCTGGGGCCCCATGCAAGGCCCAGGCCCACCTCTGGGCCCCTCACGAGTCCCCACTCGAGGAATTAACCGGCCACGCTGCTCATCTTCCCTGATGTGAAGTCTAGGGCTCCTACCCGGAGACCAGATTCAGCAGGACCAGTGGGGAGGCCCAGAGGGGGGTGTGTGTGGGTGTTCCTGGAAAAGCTCAGGCTGACGAGTTAAGATGGCCTGGGGATGACACCCACACCTATAACCAGCTGGGCGATCCTGGGTGAGCCTGTCCCCACTGGGTCCTCACCAGCAAGATGGGACCTCGCCACACGTGGTCAGTGGGACCACTGGGACAGTTTAAGAGGCACCCAGGGGGATGCCGCTCTGAGGACGGTACGAAACGGGAACATCGTCAGTGTCGGGGCCGATGGGGCCTGCAAGTCCAGCTGGAAACACGGTGGCCACCGTGCACCCCGTCTCAGGCCTGCTTAAGTGGCCAGTGGTCTGGCCCGGAGGAGCAGGAGCGCCCACAAGTACTGCTTCTCCCGGGGGTGATGGCCGGGGTGACACCCTTGAAGAGGGAGCAGCAGTGCGGATGAGAGGCGTCCGGCCCTCGCTCCTTACCTGTTGGGGTCGGCCGCCTGGAGCCCATTCTCGTTGGTCACGATGACCTTGTAGCAGAGCTCGCTGCCAGGGTTGGGCTTCTTGCGTGCTTCTCGGGCCACCTCGTCCTCACTCTCCTCCTCTTCAGCTTCCTCCACCTGCATGATCCCGAACATCTCCCCAGCATCGAAAACCTGGGGGCCAGAGGCAAGGGGGCGTTGGCAGGACACCCCATTCCTGCCCCGTTCCTTCCGCCACACACTGGCCTCAGGGACGAACTGAGTCCCGAGGAGGACAGGGCCTCTTTACAGTCCAGTTGCCCATCTTATACCCGGGAGACAGGTTCCCAATCAGTGGGAAGGAGGCCCTCACCTCCCCTGCCAACACAGGCACCATTATCGGGGTGCCCCAGTCTGTGGGACCCGCGCCTGGGGGAGGGACTACAAGTGAGCCTCCCAGTGACAGCCAGTCTGGCTTCCTGCTTCACAGGGAAAATGTGGCCCAGAAGGCCGACGGGGCGGCTCCGCTCACAGTTCCTGGAAAAGGCAGGATCATGGCGGGCCAGGGCCTTCAGCTCAGCTCTCACCAGATCCACCAACCCAATGCCAGGGCAGCGGAGGAGATTTGGAAGGAAAAGGGTGGGGGGGGGGGTCAAGAGCGCTCTGCAACCATGCCTGCCCAGGTCTGCACCAAGCATGGCCTGGGGCTGGTATCCTGGGGTCCCGGGCCCGGAAGGGACAGAAGGGAAGGGCCTGGGTTTCCTTGAGTTCTCCTGGCAACTGCGAGCCACTTGCAGCTGGTGAAGGGGGCAAGCCAGTCGGTCCCCACACGGCCACACTCAAGACCCAGCGTCTGCCACAAGTCGGCAGGTCACCGAACCATTCCATGCCTCAGTCTCCCCATCCACACAATGGGAATATTAGAATCTATATGTGGCTTGTTGGGAGGACTAGCTGATTCACACACACGCAGAGCTTAGAGGCTAATAGCTCTGTAAGCACTGGCCACCACGACACTTCTGAGCCTAGTCTCTCACCAGCGAAGGGGACATCAGCCACCTCCCAGGGGAGCTGAGAGCAACACATCAAATCAGACAGTGCACAGAGTCCCCAGCACAGCAGACTCAACAAAGCCCAGCTGCCCCTAAGACGTATTTCCCACGACTCCACTAAAAACCGGAGACACACGCATCCCAGCAGCTGGCAATCAGCCATTCAGGCATGAGCGGCGCTGATGTGCTGGGCCGGACAGGCACCCGGGGGTGTGAGGATGAGTGACACGTGACCTTGCCCTGGGAGCTGACGACACAGAGCCAGAAGGGGCCATCTGAGAGGCCCAGATAACCCCGGCAGGGGCGCCATCCTCTGAAGTGAGCGGTGAAGAAAGCAGAAGATTAACTGATTTGGCTGCTTCAGGTCTCTGATGCAGAATCTTATAGTTGCAGACTGTGGGCTCTAGTTGCCTGACCAGGGATCAAACCTGGGCCCCCTGCATTGGGAGCGGGAAGTCTTAAGACACTGGGCCACCAGGAAAGTCCCAGGAAGGGGGAGATTTCAACGTGTGGCCGTGGGATGGTGGTACAAGGACTTCAGGCAGAGCAGCTGGGGCAGGTGGGGCTGTAGGGCCGGTCAGGTGCATCCCAGGGAGCTAGGGCACTTTCTGGGATGGAGTCTTGAATTGCCCCCCTCCTCCCCCCCAGAAAGCCTGGAGGCGGGGGAAGCCACAACCCTTTTTCTGGTTTGGAGTTTAGGAGAGAACAGCTCAGAGGCTGGGGTCCAACCCAGAACCCCAAATCTCAATCCCTCCACGCCCAAACCTGACAAGAGGGAGAGGTGGTGTAGGACCCACCCTCCCCCAGCTGTGACACCATCCCTGTGACCACCATCCCTTCACAGAGGGGCTGGAGAATCCCCTATGTGGTAGAGGAGAGCAGTGGTTTTGCAGCTGGGAAGTTCCTCTTGGCCAGAAAGAGCTGAAATTTATTTCAAAACATTCCCCATGGTTTCCAAGCAGTGGGGGGCTGGAGGGGCCCCCTTCCTCGGTCAGCAGGTGTCTGTTCTGTCAGCCAGCATCCTCCCCTACACCTGGGCCCCCAGCAGCAGGTCTGTCAGGACAAGGGCTGCAGGTTTGGGTCTGGCAAAGTGGTGACTCACAGGTCTGCCCATCACCCCAGCAAGGGAGGGGCATGGAAAAGTACTAGGTGCCCCTGAGCAGAGCAACGGTGGCCAGGATGGAGGGGACATTACTCTTTGGTGACTACATGCTGGGCACACCTCTGCACCCAGACTCCACCAAGACCATGGGAGCTGGGGCCGTGTTTCCTGGACTTGGACTCAAGACGGGCAAGTGACGCACACGAATGACTTTGCTGCCCACGGGGCAAGTGACTTGCACGAGTGAATTCACTGCCCACGGAGGCTGGCAGGGCCAGGGCTAGGGTGTTTCCACCTCATGATCCACTCACCCAGCACCAGAAGGCCATTTTATCCTATCAGACTGCTGCGGTCCCCTTCCTGCCCAGGAGAGGCCTGGGACTAGGGCAAGTGCTTGGGAAATGCTGGCAACTGGAGGGCAGGCTTGAGGGGGAAGGAAAGTCACTGTTACAAAAGGCAGGTGCCAATAACACTGTATCTTTTTTTATAGCAACTCCCCTTGTTTTGAACAGGAAGGTACTTGGTCCACCCCCCCACCCCCTTCCTGGAGGTCAGGTGTCCAGAGTCCGGCTGAGAGGGTGGGGTTCACCCAGCAGCTGCTGGGGTCCCAACTCACTACTTGCACTGCTTGGTCTGTTTTGACCCAGGAGGTAAAGAGCCTGGCTCCAGCTCAGAAGGTCCCAACAGATGGCCCATGAATGTGCACTGGCTTCAGCATCTGGGCAAACCACCAAAATCCAGGGCTCACCCCTCAGCTAGGACCCTTCGGAGGTAGAGGCTAGAGCACAGGCCAGCGGAAAGGAGCTGTTCCTACAAGGGAGGCCCTCGAAGCACCCGAGCTCTTAAAAAATTTTTATTTTTTTAAAATTTTTCGGTCGTGCCATGAGCCACGTGGGACCCCTGCACTGGAAGCCGGGAGTCTGGACTGCCAGGGAAGTCTCCGAGCTCTTTTCATTTTCGTTTTGATGCTGTTTCTGCCTCCCACAGCCTCAGTTTTCCTTAATCAGCAAGATGACGGTGACCTGGGGCTCAAATCAAATGAAGGAACACGAGAGAATTCTATGAAGAAAGCTTCTAGTTCTGAGGTCAGACAGACCTTAGGAGGGTCACTTCCTCTTTCCGAGCCTCAGTTTTCTCAACTGTAGGAAAGGGGTGATGGATCCTAACCCTCACAGGGCTGCTTTGGGCTCGGATTGTGGAGGACTCAGCCCAGGGCCTGGCATGCACAGCGGAAGACAAAGTTCATTTTAGTTCCAGTTCTCGACGCAGCCCTGGCCCAGCCCCAGGTGCTGGCAAGACCGGGGCCACAGGTAGAGGTTCCGGCCGCCGCTCTTAGGTCCCAAACCGCCACGAAAGTGAAAATTTAAGGCTTTTGGACATCAGGCCATGCTCAAATCTCCGGCCGCGTGCAACTCCTGCGTCGTCCATCCACGCCGGCCCCCGACTCTCCCCGTGCGCGTCTCACCCAAGCCCGCCCGGGAACGCGCCTTCCCTCCCATCTCCACTCCTCCAAATACCGACGGCGCGCCTCCCCCCCCCCGCCCCCGGCGGTTCTCTGCCCGGAACCGGACCGCTGACCACACCCTCCCAGGTAGAAAAGTCCAGAGCCACCCAACCCGGCGGCGCGCTCGGGACCGCTGCATGTGCGCCGCGAGGGCCCGCACCCCGGCTCTCCCAGGGGCGCCCCGGGCCCGCCCTGCACCCCGGGCCTCCCCGCACGGCGCCCCACCGGCACCTCGTGCTCCAGCTTGTGCAGGAGGCGGCCCCAGTACCGCTCGGGAACTCCAGACGCGCGCAGCGCCGGGCCGTGCAGCGCCGCGAACTCGGCCAGGGCCGCCTGCGCATCCTGCTCGGGGTCGAGGACCGACTCTGGGCCAGGCTCCGGCTCCGGCTCTGGCGTTAGGACCCGGCTGCTGCGCTCCGGCGTCGGGTCGGCCTGCATGGCGCCTCCACCAGCGCCAGAAGCCCAGCGCGGCCGTGGAGCCCGCGGGCCCGGCCCTCCGAACTTGGCCCGCAAGCTCCGCCCTCCTCCGGGTTCCCCCACCGACCCCGCCCGCCGAGGCCCTCAAGCCCCGCCCACAAGCCCAGGCTCCGGGCTGGCGGAAGGGCCTCCGAGGTAGCCCGGGGCGGGCGGGGCCTCCCGAGAAGGGCGGGGCCTCCCGAGAAGGGCGCGTGCGTGAGCGCTCAGGGGCGGGGCCTTTGTGGCTCTTGGGGCGGCTGCCGGCGTGTGCGCACGCGCGGCTGGTGTGGGGGCGGTGGTGTCTTCTCGTTCAGCCCGCGGCTGTTCGGGCGGATGCCGGAAGTGAATGTGTATCGCACCCGGGCGGTCGGAACCGGATGGGGTTCCAGACTGCACCGAAAGGGGATAACGGAGGCTCAGAGATACCCGTGGGGCAGAGCAGCTTCCCCGAACCGCACCGATCTGGCCTTGATGACTTGCAGACGCACGGAGGCGGGAGGCGGGGAATCCCTTGTTCTTTTGAATGCGTTACCAGATTTTAGGTGCAGCAGAGCAGTGACTTGTCTGTTTCCTTACATTTGGTTTCAGAATATGAATTTATTCAGATAAAATTGGGAGGTTTTTTTTTAATCCTTCTTAGAAATGCATTGCATTGTTTTCCCTTTTTCAGCTTTTCAGTAATTGTAATTTGCTGTAAAGTGTTGCTCCTGCTGCTAAGTCGCTTCAGTCGTGTCCGACTCTGTGCGACCGGCTAGATAGCAGCCCACCAGGCTCCTCTGTCCCTGGGATGCTCCAGGCAAGAATACTGGAGTGGGTTGCCATTTCCTTCTCCAGGAAAGTGCAAAGGCAAAGATTTTGTGTGTGTGTGCTTCAGTTGGTGAATATCTTGATTAAAAAACAAGTTGATTTTGAACAAAATGCACTAGTTTAGAGGACTTGTTCAATGGGACTAGAACATTTTAAATTGTTGTGCAAAAGCTCAAACTTCCAAATTCTAGGTGGTGATGATGAAATAAAATTCACATTTTATGGCAAGACATAAACTTAAGCATAAAATCCCTCCCTTTTAGTAAGAATTGTACCTCTGCATTAACCAAAACTCCTTGGAAGATAACTTTCCTAATCTTATCAAGGATCTCTACTCCTTAGGAGATTAGCTTCCTTCTTAACCCTACAAGAGGCCACAGTGACCCATGACCCACTACTTGTTCTGTGCACGTGAATCTGGATTGTGTAGACTGTTGATAATATATCATTTAATGTATAGCACTTTTGGAGAAGGAAATGGAAGCCCACTCCAGTTTTCTTGCCTGGAAAATCCCATGGACAGAGGAACCTGGCAGGCTGCAATCCGTGGGGTCACAAAGAGTCCATGGGGTTGTAAGAGTCAGACACGACTTAGTGAGTAAACCATAGCACTTTGTCTCAAAAACTTAAAACACACCTGTAACTCAGTCAGTAAAGAATCCACTGCAATGCAGGAGACCCAGGTTTTATATCTGGTTTGGGAAGATCCCTGGAGAAGGAAATGGCTAACCACTACAATATTATTGCCTGGGGAATCCCATGGACAGAGAGCCTGGCAGGCTACAGTCCATGGGGTCACAAAGAATCAAACACAACTTAACGACTACACCACCACCACCACCTCCATGGTCAGTGTATAGCACTGTGTCTCAGAAACTTACCATGCTGAGCTTTTGACTTCTTAACAGGCAAGACAGTTCTCACAGCTCTCTGGAAGACTGCTTCCCAGATTATAATATTTGGCTAGAATAAAAATGTCCATTTCTTTCTTTCTTTCATTTTTTTCATTGACATGGTCGAGAAACATGTTATAGGAGAAAAAAAGGTTACTGCCATATTGGAGGGCTTCCCTGGTGGCTCAGATGGTAAAAAAATCCACCTGCAATGCGGGAGACCTGGTTTCCGTCCCTGCGTTGGGAAGATCCCCTGGAGCAGGCCCTGAGTGCCCACTGCAGCGTTCTTGCCTGGAGAACCCCTGCAGACAGAGGAGCCTGGAGAGGTACAGTCCATGGAGTCACAGAGTTGGACGTGACTGAGCGACTAAGCACAGCGTAGCCAGACTGGAATCCTTTTTTCTGTCTCACATCAGCTGTGTCTCAAAAATTTTGCAGTTCAATCACTCTGTGTGAAAAAATATTTGTAAATTTTGACAACTATGATACTAATTTGACTGATACAATTTTACAGTTTGTTTGGATTTAATAATCACATGCAGTTCCAGGTACGTTTCTGCTTCATGGGTTTTTGGTTTGTTTTTTGGGTTTTATTTTTGGCCATGGTGGGGGATTTGGGATCTTAGTTCCCCTGCCAGGGATTGAACCCATGCCCCCTGCAGGGGAAGCATGGATTCTTAACCACTGAAGCACCAGGAAAGTCCCATGGTGTTCTTAATTTAGTAAGAATGTTGGTTCATCTATGCAGTGCCTATTGAACTTTATATGAATATTACCATTGCAAAAAGAAAAGAAAAAAACGCCTTTAGTGTTCAACTGTTAAGCTAAATTTAGCTGAGTAGCATTCACAGTAATGTTAGTTTGGCACCTTGGAGAGAATGAACTTTCCAAAAGCTTAATTTTGATTGCATGAATTGGAAGCCAAAAATGGAAGCAACTAATGACTTTGGTACAATGTGGCATCCACAATGAAATAATTTCTCAGCCAGGAGAGCCAGCACTTTAACAGTGAAAGGAGCACAAGAAAACTTGGAATTAGAAAAATGAGTGAAACAAATGTAAGAAAAAAATCATTTGATCTAAATGAAGAGTCATGATTTATAGACTGTTATGTCAGTTCACTTCTGCAACTTTACATGTTCATTCGTTTTGAGGCAGTCTTAAAATAATTGCTGACTTTTAAAGTTCATGGGATACTTCTGAATGATTGATTTACAGTGAAAGATACCTCTTTGGCCCCCATGGTGAAAGGTAAACATCAACAAACATTTTGTAGAAGTTTCAGTTGCATAATCCTGAGAAATGAAAATATAGAACTTTTAATATTATTTTAAACTATCTAGTTAATTAATTTGGCTGTGCCTGGTGTTAGTTGCAGCAGGTGGAGTCTTGTTTTGTTGTTGTATTTTTTTAAGTTGCGGCATGTGGAATCTCTTTAATAGTTCCCCGATCAGGGATCGAACCCTAGCCCCCTGTACTAGGAGTGCAGAGTCTTAGCCACTGGACCACCAGGGAAGTCCCTAGAACTTAATTTTAAGTTAAATGTGGACTTAAAAAAGGCTTTATTGAGTCTTCCCTGGTGGTCCAGTGGCTAAGAATCCGCCTTGCAATGCAGAGGACTCAGGTTTGATCCCTGGCTGGGGAACTTAGAGCCCATGTGCTGCAACTCAGCCTGAGTGCGTAACTATAGAGTCCTTGCAGCAAAAGGTGCCACATCTAAGACATTGCACAGACAAATAAATAAAAGTAAATAGCAAAAAGTTTATTGCTCCTAAAAAGGTTTATTGCACAATAAAGAAAAAATACCAGAAAACAGAAATAAAAACCTGTGAATTTATACCGTACTTCTTGTTCAGTCACTCTGTCCTGTCTGACACTTTGCGACCCCGTGGACTGAAGCATGCCAGGCCATCCTGTCCCTCACCATCTCCCAGAGTTTGCCTAGGTTATTCCACGCAGGAAGGGACAAAACCCTCTGAACAACGAAAGTGTTCCGACTTCTCTATACAGTCTGCAGCGGGACCACTCAGCCTCAGTCTGCCACATGTGACTCACCCACACCAGCTGTCATTTCCCGGAGTCGTCATGCTCAGAAGTCTGTGCTTCAAAAGGAATGAACATGGACGTGCACCTGGTAGGCCACAGAACAGGCGCCCGGGCGGTGTAGGCAGGGGCAGCAGGCCTCACTGTGAATGTTAGTACTGGCCTTGGAGAAGGCTCTTGAGAGTGCCTTGGACTGCAGGGAGATCCAACCAGTCCATCCTAAAGGAGATCAGTCCCGAGTGTTCATTGGAAGGACTGATGTTGAAGCTGAAACTCCAATACTTTGGCCACCTGATGTGAAGAACTGACTCAAAGACCCTGATGCTGGGAAAGATTGAAGGCAGGAGGAGAAGGGGACGACAGAGGATGAGATGGTTGGATAGGTTCACCAACTCGATGGACATGAGTTTGGGTAAACTCTAGGAGTTGGTGATGGACAGGGAGGCCTGGCGTGCTACAGTCCGTGGGGTTGCAAAGAGTTGGACACTACTGAATGACTGAACTGAACTGAATATTATAATTGAGAATGTCTACCTCACAGACATGATCACTATTAGAAACTGTTATATTGTTTATCATACCTTACAGTCTATGCCTATATAGATATATATACATGTGTGCTGTCACTTCAGTCGTGTCCGACTCTATGACCCTATAGACTATAGCCTGCCAGGCTCCTCTTGTCTATGGGATTCTCCAGGCAAGAATACTGGAGTGGGTTGCTGTGCCCTCTCCCAGGGGATCTTCCCGACCCCGTAATTGAACCCGCATCTCCTGAATTGCAGGTGGATCATACTTATAGTAATTATTTTGTTATGAGCAAGCATATGTTACACTAGCCGAAAACCTACTTGTCATCTTGGCATCTGCAGCTTCCTCCCCCACTGAATCAATCTGTAGTTTATCTGATCCATGGGACGGTAAATCTAGCTCAAACTGGCTTAAGGCAGAAGGGTATTTATTGGCTTCCATGGTGTTCTGGACTGGACATTTGCGTTCTTCCCAAATTCATGGTGCCCTAACCCACAATGTGACTGAATTTGGAAACAGCCTGTGAGGAGGTGATAAAGTTAAATGAGGTCCTAAGGGTGGGGTCCTTAAAGGAAGAGGAATAGATACCAGAGCATTCTTTCTCTTTACCTGATGAGGACAGAACGAACAGGTGGCTGTCTGCAAGCCAGGAAGAGAACTCTAACCAGCACCTTGATTTTGGACTTCACAGCTTCCAGAACATAAACT